GAATAATTTCGTAAAACTCAAACAATTTTTGGGTTCTTCACTTTGCGTCTAGAAAACGGAGTCGGCGGTAATCATTCTCCTTTAAAAGGGTGGGGGGGGGGGAGGTGGTGTGGGGGTCGCAGGTCGCTTTGCTTTTATATAATTGGGTTTTGGATCCCTTTGCGTCTATAATATAGCGTCGCAAAAAATTTCTTAAGGTGAGAACCTGTGCATTTAAGAGCTTGGTCTGTCTTTAATCTGGGCTGTAGGCAGTGAGCCAGGTCGAGTAACACGTCGAAGTTAATGTCGGAGTGAGATGTTCAAGTTGTTGTCAGAGTAACATGTCCAAGAGACTGTCGGAGTAAGATGTTCAAGTTGTTGTCGGAGTAACATGACCAAGAGACTGTCGGAGTAAGATGTTCAAGTTTTTGTCAGAGTAACATGTCCAAGAGACTGTCGGAGTAAGATGTTCAAGTTGATGTCGGAGTAACATGTCAAATTTAATGTCGGAGTAAGATGTTCAAGTTGTTGTTGGAGTAACATGTCCAAGAGACTGTCGGAGTAAGATGTTCAAGTTGTTGTCGGAGTAGCATGTCCAAGAGACTGTCGGAGTAAGATGTTCAAGTTGTTGTCGGAGTAACATGTCCAAGAGACTGTCGGAGTAATATGTTCAAGTTGTTGTCGGAGTAACATGTCCAAGTTAATGTCGGAGTAAGATGTTCAAGATGTTGTTGTCGGAGTAACATGTCCAAGAGACTGTCGGAGTAATATGTTCAAGTTGTTGTCGGAGTAACATGTCCAAGTTAATGTGGGAGTAAGATGTTCAAGTTGTTGTTGTTGGAGTAACATGTTCAAGTTGTTGTCGGAGTAAGATGTCCAAGAAATTGTCGGAGTAAGATGTTCAAGTTGTTGTTGTTGGAGTAACATGTCCAAGAGACTGTCGGAGTAAGATGTACAAGAAATTGTCGGAGTAAGATGTTGAAGTTGTTGTCGGAGTAACATGACCTCCTGAAAATGGTGGTGGCAGTGCAGTGAAGCTCTAAAAAAAAACCACCTTACCACCTTGTCCGCCAACTGAGGCTCACCACCTTGTCCGTCCATTGAGGTGTACCACATTGTCCACCCATCTGAGATGTACCACTTTGTCCACCCACTAACTAACTAACTAACTTAAGAAAATCAGCGAACACCGAGCCGAGGCTCATATGGTCCCCCCCAACGCACCACCCCGCCAACCAAACCGGCCTTCAAACACTCCCCCAGTGGTCTTTATTCCGATCGGGCCGCGAAGCGGCACGCCAGGGACGCTCCACCCCTAAGATCGCCACACCCGACCTCCACTCGACTTGCCGCTGAGTGTGGCAGCCCCAGAGAAGAAACACCTGGCCAGCCGGGTTGCTGCTCACGCAGCAACCGGGCCGGACTTTCTAGGGGTTTGGAGTGGATATATTTAACGTTTCTAAGTCCCCCCTTCCCACTCCGGGGAGACGCGAAGTTGTTTGAACCAACGCCCTCTAATAGGGTTTATATGGTTATTCTACGACGCGACTAATTCGCACCGTAGATGGGAGAGAGAGGTTGCCTAGGAGCAGTACCCTCAATACTGCATTGTTAGAATCATAGGTGAAAGGTTGCCACACGCCTTCACCTCATATCCATACGGCAACTGTAATCATGTCCCAACCTGTTTCTGCGTTAAAAAAGTTTTTGTCGATTGCACTTGGTGGAGGGCCATGTAATCGTGCTCGTCTTAACGCAGATTCCGTGCGTTACCCCTGTCTTGCGGCACAGGTCCCCTACACGGTGGTAATGTCGCTAGATACTAATATCTAGATACTAAAAGAGTGAGTCAAATTTTGGTCATTTTTTTGACAGGGTGTTGTCAAATGTACTGGAATTATAGAACAATAATGCAATTAACTTTCAAGTAATTTTGTCAATTCTTTATTGCAATCCTGCATAATTAAACTAATATATAAAATGCATTTTACCTGACTGTCCATATCTGTCTTTTCTGTACCCACATAGTGTAGTCTTTAAAATATCTAGCTTCTATAACCTTTTTGTCCTGAAATATAAACAGTATTTTCAAAAACAGGGAAAGCTTTGCAAAATGATATTATAATGTCATACAAAATGTGATAATCTTTAGTTGGCACAGATTTTAAATGCAATTTTTTGCAGTAAGACAATTATGGCAACTTTCAGGCTTCAGATATGAACAAAAAAAAACATAAATTCTGATTCGTAAAAAAAAAAAAAATTACAATGGGTATGAAAGATTGTAACAAAGAATGGAAAGAGTTAGAAAAGATACTTCACAACGGAAAGACTTTGAAAGAAATCATTAATGGGTCTATGATCCACTGGGAGTTGAAAAGGCAAAGAAGAAGAGATTAAAAATTGGTAGAAAGTATAAATTCAATTTGTTTGATATGTGCTTTTTTTGTGTGCTGATATTTATTACAGGATTTTTAATAAAGTTGAGACTGTATTGTCCTTCCATGTTAGCTTACCTCCATCAGACTGTTGACTTGTGCCTGGGTCAACACCTGGTCAGGTGAGTTGACAGTGTAGCCAGCACTCCTGAGGATTTGCATGAGGGAGAAACCATTTTCTCTTTGGGCAGGGTTCAACCAGTCTTTCCAAATGGCCAGAAGATTATACAAGTAGAAGCTAAGTTCAACACCCTACAGAAATTTAATACAAAACGAATGATAGAGTCCTCTTCACTTGTCAGATTTTAATAGAAAACTTGATTAAATTTCAAAACTGAAAAATGGAACTAGTGGTTCAGAGGTGTTCAAAATGACAAGAATACCTACCATGATGCTCTTATTATTACTAGGTACTATTATTATTATTCATTTCATTAAAATTAGTTACTTCCTGGAGTGATTCTTAATATTTGATGGTTAATTTGTAGCCAGCATGGAACATAAAATCTACAATATGTATTATAAGTAGGAACATACAACTTGTTTTTCTGCTATGACAGCTCTCAGTGCATCTGTACCCAGTGGTTCTGTTATGATGAAAGCTAGAGTGTAGGCTCTCATGTCAAAGTCCACTTTTGTTGACATCAGACACAAGAACAGTCTGGTGAACTGGCAAATGAGACATTCACCAACTTTAAAACCAGGCACACACAAACATTTTTGGTCAGATTTTGTAATAGTAACTTATTTAAATGTTTGAATATGTCCAATTATCAACATGAATTAAAACCCCTGGTAAAGAATGCTGCTTAGGTCAACATTTGTTCAACAAGAAACATAAGTTACAAATAAATTACATCCTCCATGAAAACATGTGGACACTTTTAAAAGTATTACATTTTAAATTAGTCAACAAATACATGAATTACAATTGATATTCACCATGAAATTAACATCTAACTGAGTCCTTAAAAATTACCTGAGCTTTAAGAACATCTTTTGCACCATTCATGATAGGATTTTTCAATTTTTTGTTGTAGACATCTTTAACCTTTAAAAAGAAATTTAGAATCATAAGATTAGAACTTAAACAGCAGATAATTTTATACAAGCAACACATTTTTTAATTTTATTATAGTTCTAGTTCATCACAAAATTTTGGAAATTTTTATATTAGAGGGAAATTTGAGGGAATATCTAATAAAATGTATAAAAATTTGAGAGTTGAAAGCACTTAAGACTTTAAATTAAAGTTAAAATCTAAAAAACCTAACAGATAAAAATGAAAGGAAATAAACTTACCAAATTGTGCTGATAGAACCTAAAGATGGTAACAAATAGGTGCTTGAGGTAACGGTCATCCAAACAAGGAGTGTTAGGTTCAGTGAACAAGTTTAGAGGTCTTTCTTTGTTTGGTCTAATCTGCTCTTCACGGGCTAGAATGCAAATTTGAACGTATAAATAGTACAAGGCTAATGTGACGTGTCCTTACTGCAAATTACAAAGCTTGATTAATGTGGGCTTTAAATAGCTAATGAAAGCATTATTAAAGCTGTTTTTTGTGGGGTTTTTCTTCTTAAGTTACTATTGCTTGGTGCCCACGTGGCAAGGTTTTTTGTTAACCCCAAATAATGAAACTGCTATGATATAAAAAAACAAGAATTTCTTACGGAACATGATGGCAAGATCAGTGGCTGTGACCAAAATTTTTCTAAATCTGTCCAAAAGATCTGATTGGTCAATGCTGGCATAAATTATTTTCCTTTTCCGGCTAAAGAGGCTTCCTATGCGAGAGTGTTTGTGCCCATTCCCGACACCTCGAGGTGGGGTTCCGATTCGGGAAGAACTGGATGAGTCACTATCAAACTGGTTGGCCAACCGGTCCTCAAGTGCTGCATCTGAGAGGAAACCCATCATGTCAGGTGAGGAGAAAGTTGACCGCCGAGTCAAGTTTGTTACTGTTTTAATGGGTTGGGATGTTACAGTGGATTTCAGGTGGGAATGTGGAGCGGGAGAATTTGTTGTCATTGATGATGCAGGAAACGACTTTGAGGATGGAGTTTGCCGAGGTCGGAGGGATTTGGAAGAGGAAAGAGAGGCTGAAAAAAATATATACAAAAAGGATGGGGAATAGGTTAGATAAATTGCTCATAAAAATATACTTACATACTGATGAACTGAGATGTTAGAGGCATCAAAATAGGAAAATCATATTTAATAGGAGGGGTGCACTCATCTGTTTAAAGTAATTAGCCATATAAGTTATGCTATGCCTGGTTGAAAATCTCTGAAGGAGTGTATGCAAAAAATATTACACATGAACTCAACTTTAAAAATAGAAACAGTGTGCACAAAATTTAGCATGAATGTCTAAAATAGGTAACAATGATTTAATATTTAAAATAATTTTTAAAAAGAGATTATTAGTTTTTCTAAACTTTGTATCTGAGACTACTTCCAAAGACAGCAATTATTTTATAATTTTTCTCGCTCTGAAAATACATATAAAGGTTGACAAAATAATGCTATTCTTATTGTGATTGAAAAAGAGATATCTTTTAAATATAAAACCCTTACAAAGTTAGTTTGTAATTTTAAAATTTAACTTGGATTTCAAAATTTCTTTTGCTAATCACACAGGGGTTTGAAGTGACTTATCAATAAAATTAATGTTTACAGAAAAAAATAGTGTGTTGACTGTTGTAAAGTTGTTTGGATAGATTAAAACTGAATGAGTTATATTTTGTACAAGTTCAAAACTTTAAACAGAATATCTAGCATAGAGCTGAATCTATTTTCATGAATCAATTTTTGTTGGTTAACTTGCTCAGTGAGTTTCCAATAAGCCTTTTTTTTGTAAATGTTTCCATAATTTAATTTTGTTTTGTACTAAAAAAAATATACAACAGTGACCATTGTCAATAAACAGGGTAGTAATATGAATAAAAGTGGAAAGATAAAAGCTAAAAAAATGGGTTGTTCGGATAAGAGTTACAGTGGTTGGTGCTTATCTTAGTTTTAAACTAAGAGCAAAATAATTTCAGTAAGGATAATAAAAATTCAATAAACCACGTACTCTTTTAACTAATAAAGTATGTCATCAAACTTTTCAATGATAAATTCAAAACTATTCTGTTACCATTCAAGAACCGGGGCTTCTTCATTCAATGTATTTATTGATAAACTAACACTTTATTATTAGATGTATTTAAATTGATACGGATAAAGTCTTAGTAATACACTAATATTATTTAGCAGTTTGTAGTTGACTTTATCTAACATATCATCAAGACTGTACTGCAAGGCAGTCTATGATTTATTATTTACTGATTTTTCAGTCTTTAAAAAATCATTAAAAGGGACACAGGTTGGCCTTACTTACCATTACTGGCCGTCGATGATGTAAACCAGCTTTGGGAGACAGAATTCAACTCCTCACTGCGTTTGTCAACATACTCTAAAATTTTGACGACTAAAGAAATCTGAAAGGCTCTTGCTGTGTCTGCTCGTTTTATGCTTGACTCTAAAAGATTGAATGAACAAAATATTTGTTTAACTATTTGATACTGTTTTCTTGTTATGATCATCCCAAATGAAAAGGCTCTAAAGTTAAATTCAATGCATTGAATTCTTAAACGTGTATAGACTTTAATGAAACTTTTCTTGAAGCCTCAAGCATGTTAGAGTCAACCTGAAAATACCCGTTACTTATAACTTAAGTATAAGTTATAAAAATCTACCAGCCTCAGTGGTGCTGTAATTACTTACAGTAGCAAAACTATTTATGCAAATAGATTTCACCTAGGCTATGAATAAGTCGAAATCAACTGGGTGAAGCTGCATGTGAAGTTGGTAAATCAAAGACAATGCATCCAATGACTAAACTTTTTGCCAGTTTAGTTAAAGATTTACCTGACTCATGATCCTCAAGTGCCTTGAGTAAGGTAAACATATCTTCAACATTTTGAAAATGAGTGGGGCCCATCCAGCTGGATTGGAAGCAATATTTAAGTATTTTAATGGCAGGCAACTAATGAATATCTACAAAAATTAAGCATTATATATGTTAATAAATTTAACATTATACTTTCTCATAGTTCAGTGAGCAATATTTTATCAATAAGTATTCATAAGAAAACAATAATTGTTGTCTTATCTGTAAATCAAAAACAAAATGTCCCACTTTTTTTCTTCAAATTTTTATCACTTTTAACTTGAATCCCTTCATAATTTCTCAATAATGAGCAGTCATAGATTGGCGAGTCTCAACTTCATGTGAGACAATAGGAAGATATGATTGTTCGATAATAGTTATTATTAAAGAAATCCATTGGAGTGACTGATGGGTATAGTTTTAAAAGATGTACCTGAACTCTGAGACCACTGCTGAACATAAAACATGCTGAACATCAACCAGCAAAACTCTTGTCAGTTCGTCTTCCTCCTGTGATGGTTCACTAGAGGACAAATGGAAAGACAATTATTTTTTTAAAAACATTTAAAGGCTTATATTTTATAATCAAGTACTATGTGAATGTTAAGAAACTTAAAACTATTTACCTGATGTAACGTCTTTGTATGCTGTTTGCCAGGTTGCACATGGTCTCTGCCAGCCCCAGGTCCAGTAGCAAAGTGCTCATGGTGGGTGTGGATTCCAGAAGCTGCATAGAATTTTTCAAGTTTGTGTTAATATTCCTATGTCCATCATTTCAAGAAATTTGAATAAAGCCCTTAACAAGAAACGAATCTGGTTAAAAAGAAGGATGTACAACTAAATTACTTAAACTGTTGACATTTTACTAGATTGTTTTTCTTGCTAGACAACTATCTTTTTAAAAAAATACTTTCTCAGCTTAGAAAAATATATTATAATTTCTCTCTAAATTGGATGCCTACCAGCTTCTTTATTTGAAGATTTTACTCAGTTTTTCTCTAAATCCCCATAATAGCTGCATTACAAGGACGGTGAGTCTAATCAACCTGCCTATTTCACTCAGGGTCTCTCAAAGGCCCCATAAAAGCTGCCTACTTAGGTTGACCTATTTTCCAATATTCTGAGGCCATACCCATCAAGTGCTGAGACCATCCCCATCAAACTCTGACCCACTAAGTGTATGTTATGAGGCAGAGAAGGCCACCATTGAGTCCTAGGGGCATCTATTTCTTGTCCTGTTTAAGTTTTTAGCTTATTTTTTGTCACCTGGGCTTGATTGGTGTCCAGGATGGGTATTCACTAAAATTTGTTTGCTCATCGAATATTGTTTTAATGTGCGTGGTGTGTATTGTGTTGTAGTTTAGTTAATGAAAGCTTTTCCCACCTTGAGGGCTTGAGAGGTATTGTGACATATTTTTATGGTAATTGGGACATCATGTATATAATCTGTCTTTGTTGTATTGCATTTTCATTGAGCACTTGATGAGAATTTTGGGGGGAAAGGTGTTTTATTCATTGTACACCCTGATATATATGTTTCTGGATTAAATTTTACATTGCAAATGAAAAAAGGACTTGTGTTCAATTCAATGAGATTACGATATATGAACACGTAAAAGAATTTGATTAAAGAAACCAATCACGTATGGAACAGTGACAACTGGTGCCTTGTATTCAGCAACAAAGCTTAGATTCTGATCATGGTTGCATTTTTACAGTGTTGTCTGAATTAAGTACTGTAGGGGGTAGAACTACCCTTACACAAGGGTCGCCTCAGACCATTGGAAAACACATATTTATGACGTAGCAATGAAAATAATTTTATGGTTGGGGGGTCACCACAACATGAGGAACTAGATTAAAGGGTCGCTGTATTAGGACGGTTGAGAACCACTGCACTAGATGATCTCTAAATCAAAGAGAAATACATCCCTTAATACTGTCATTAAAACCATAATGGACGGCACATACATCTTATTTTCATCATTTTAACTTCAATATAAAACTTGACCCCACCAAGACTGATTACCTGAGATAACAGTGTGAGGGAGTTCCTACAAAGCTTGGGATCAGATACTGTACTTTCCAGGAGAGACAGAAACAGGACAGGAGCCACTTGTTGCATTGTAGAAAGCTCTCCCAAGTCACCAACCATAAAGCTGTAAAGAAGATGATTCATATTCAATAAGTTCTTTTCTCTTTATGCTTCATTTTTTTCAAAAATTATTTTTATTCATTTAACTTCCAGAGGATGAAAGGAATCTTTGTAATTTAAAAAGTAAATTTAATTTCTTTCTCAACATATATATTTTTATTTTAATAACTATAAGTTTCACATATGTTTTTTTAAATGTCAATTTCTTTCTCCCCAAAAACTTTTTGTGGCAAAAAACAGAAATAGGGTACATTACAAGTTGGTATCACTTACTTGCCGTCAAACACAAAGTCCTGTTTGAGCAACATTGACATAGCACTTTCCATATGGTGGATATTGACTGGGAAAGATCGAAGCTGATTGGCCAAAAGATAAAATCCATCCATTTTCATAAAAGCATCAATCAAGCTAGGTGGAGCCTTTGAGAGATAGGTGCCAAGGAGCTGTTTAAAAAAAAGTTTGCATAGATCCATAATATATTTTAAAGGTAAAACTAACAAAGAAAATCAATTAACTTTTTAAAAAAATTTATTCATATTTTCTCAAAATAATAAAACTTCTGAAAAAAAGGATGGGGGGGGGGGGGGGGGGGGGGGAGAGAGAGAGAGAGAGAGACTCCAATCAGGTTAGGTAGAGGGAAATATGATTTTAAAAATGTATTAGAAAACCTAAAAAAAAAGACTGCAGACCTGTTTACTCTTACGAGTTTAGCTTAGAATGTACGATTTTGAGATGTACACATTATAATTATATACACTGTATGTTTATTTTTTACTATTTAGATTTTGTGATGATATTGTATGATTTTAAGAGTTTGAGAGTAACTTGGTCTAAGGGTGCAACAAAACTAAGAACTTGTCTGAAAAAAAACTTCTTCAGCAACAGTGCAAACAAAGAGTAACAAAAATATAAAAATAAAAACTTTGCTGAAATGTTTTATCAAAATGGAGAACAAGAGAACAGTAGTAGACCCTTAGTAGGTAAGAGAGCTAATTTGACTCGGATGTTCCGAGCACATTCATAATATTGTGCAAGATAAACAATGTTCTATCGCAACTCACTTCAATAGAAGCGACCACAAAGCCTCCATCGCCTTGTCCATTAGAGTCATTGTTTCCTCTGCCAACAGACACACCAGAGTGAGCTTAGAGAAAAAAACTGATCCACATCTATGGGACCTTGACACCACATGGCATGAATGTCATGTTCCCCCATCACTCGTTAAATCTTTTCTCTGCACCCTCCTTTTTACAACCAGTCGCTATATACTTACTTTTCCTCTCTTCCTTCCCCCTTTGCCTATATGAACTCTCTTACATACTAATGGTCTACATTTCTCTTGCTATCCTCTTGGATACAACATTTCAGCTAAGTTTATATTTTTGTTGCTGTACTGTTCACTGAAAAGGCTCGTTGCCAACTCATTCATTGTTTTGTTGCATCTTTTTCTCAGGTTTTCCTGTACCTAGTTTGCCACATTTCCAACGTCTGATTGATCGGATTGTTGGTTAAAGACAAAGCAATCAAGTATTAAAACCTGAATGCCTACAAAAATTAAACTGCTCCCTCCCGCCTATTTTTTGTTTAAATGACAAGATGCAAGCATTGTGAATCAAAAGTTTAATGTAATTCAAGTATTACAGCTAATATTCTAACCTTCATGACTGCCAATCTCATGCCACTAGATGGGTTCTTGGCCAATACAAGCATGCTCTTTGGACTGACCACCTTACTGAAGACATTATCAAGTGAAGGCTCGGGGTACCCATTTATGATATCTGTCAGATATTCTATTAAACCTGTTTTCAAACAAAATTACAATAAAATAAAAAGTCACCAATTAAATCATGATAACAACATTGATAAGTAATGTCAACATTTATATAGTTTCAGGGGTCTAAAAAAAAACTGTTAATTTTGCCAAACTAATAAAACAGTTGTTAAATGTTCTCGCAATCTTAAATTAATTTATCATTTGACTAGTTGGTTTTTTTAAACTTCGGCATAGGTTAAAAAATATAGAAACTCATAGCTTGTATTTGGAATATTTTCATTCTAGATCAAGAATTCTTAACATGTGGTTCAACAAACTCTTGGGAGTAGGTGAGAAGAGGTTATGCATTTCATTTGCAATTTTTTAAATGCATGGGGGGGGGGGGTGTCATGATTACATCTGACTAGCTAAAGGCGTCAATGGAACCAAAAAAGTTTAAGAAGGAACCATAAAAGGTTAAGAACTCTTGTTCTAGATAGAAAATTTTATTTACCATTTCTTAGGAAAATTCCAAAGATTTGTTAAGTCTAAGAACTGCAATCATGATTTTAAAATATCTTTTATTCAAAATTTGCTTAATGCATACATTTTTTGCCAGATAGAAAATAAATTCATGTTAAAAAATTTCCTGAATTACAGGCATTGGACAATTAATATTTCCCTAATAGTACACATACTTATACAAAGCTTCATCAGTCCCTGGTCAACTTCCTCCTCAAGATGGGATGAGTCACCGAGCAATACATGGTTGTTCACTGGTACCCTTTCCTTGCCAGAGTGGCCTCTCTTATGTGTCCACAGATTATTGATTTCATTTTGGTCTACATTTAACTCCATCCCCATCTCAACAAAGCCCCCCACACTTGATTCTTTATCTGAGCTAGCATAAACCAGCTTTCTTCTAGGTGAGCTTTTCTTTTTTCTCTTTCCAGATGCCTGGCTGGCACTTAACGAACTATTCAAGTCTTTTTGCTCCAGGGCAGATCTTGTTTTTAAATTTTTCAAACCAGCATCATCTTGGGAGTCATGACTGCTGCTTGAAAGGTCAGAAGTGTCTAAATTTTGAACTGAACTGATGGATGTTGCTGTGTCTGTAACTCTGGAGGATGTGGCTTTCTTCTTCAGCCTCCAGCTGGTATCACTTTCTTCATAGTCAGCATCCATGTCCAATGTTTGTTCAGAGTTGGGGTTGGCAGGCTTCAAGGGAGGAAATTTGAATTCTTCATTCTCATCCTGAGAGTTGTCTTGGTTGTCTGCATCCTGACTCTTGAGCGATAAGGTAGGGTCAAATTTGGTAGAGTTGTGCACAGAGACAAGTTTTGGCCCTGCAGTTAAAATTTAAAAATCTATTAAAAACTCTTATAAAGAATTAATGACAGATGAAAGGAATTTAAAAAAACATAAATAAATTATACAATTCGATACTTTGAGTACATTTAAACATTTTTGTTGGAAAAATAAATTATATGGAAAAATTAAATCTTTACCGGTTGTAACCTCTCTACTTTGTTCAACAGTAGCGTCAGATTTTTCACTAATTGTGCGTGTAGATTTTGTCTTCATTTTCTTCTGGTCAGAGCTAAATGATCGTGGACGCTCACCATCTTTATTTTTTTAAAAAGTACAACAATTGAAATTGCATAAATTTCTTAAAAAACATATTTGTGGGGTTTATTATCTCTTTAAAAAATTATTTTTAAAAAGTGTTATTATTTATAAACAGAACTAACAAACCAGTACAAAACTAATATGGTCTATGAGCCCTCAATCGTTTACTAGGACACAATTTCAATTTAAATCAGAGGCAAAGAATTTAGGATTGGACAGGAAAAAGAATTAGAAAATATCAGAGGTTTAAAGTCAAATAACATTTTATTTCAAAACAGTGGATAATGATAGTGCAGCAATTGTTGACTTACCCCACCACAATTTAAAGTAGAAATAATTCGGGTTAAAATTTATGAAACCACTGGGTGCTGGGTGGACAAGAAGCAAGAAATCCATGACAGGCATCAACAAATGCAGGTCAGGTGGTGAGCCCAACAGGCTTGTAATCACAACAGAGGCTGATTGACTCACAGACACGGAGAGGGATTGCTGGCTATCTTGGATTCTTTCCTGGAAAGGCAATGACATCAAGCATTATAACTGAATACTGTTTTATAGTAAAAAATAAAACAGATAAAACTGTTTTCAGTTATAGGTATTAAATAACAAACTGTGATTATTTTAAGTTAAATTATAAAATTATGTATGTTATTAAGGAATATGCAAACATATGGTTTAAGCTATTTCTAAAAAATGAGATTGACATTAAACAAAATCAATTTAATTTTGTTTATAAGTTAAAAATAACAGTGATGTTAAATTACTGAATTGAATTTATAAAAGGTAATTACTGAAGTTATAGTTAATAGTGATGTTAAAATACAGAAATGAATACATACAAGGTAAATACTGAAGATTTTGTTGATAACTCCCCCAGCTAACATCTGCTTGATGTTAAATTTACGGTGAGGATGGTTAGGACTGACCAGGGCCTCGAGAGCAGCAAACAATGTAACAGTGACCTGGTCACCTCCCCTGTGCCAGATCCTCCAATGCAATAAAAGTTGGGTGAGTATGTCTATATCTCTAATCACAGCCTCTGGGTTGCTTCTCAGGACAGGCTGAGGTGAGCTGGGGCTGGTCTTGAATAGTGTTTCTGTGGTGCAAGCATCCAAGAGTACCTTAAAAACAATGTCAGTCAAAATAAACTTTTTTGTATCACTAATAGGACTTGTGATAAAATTAACTTACAGATATTCTTGATATATCTTTTTATCTTCAAAATGTAGTAAAACAACATTAAAACATTACTAATGTGCATCCATGTTCAAATGAATATAATGAAGAGGCATTGGAATTAACTTTCAATAAATAAGACTTAAAACAAACAAACATGAAATATATTCAATCTTCATTTGTCTGGCCATAAATAATGCTAAAAATGCTAATGAAATAGCAAAACGAGGTATGTGGAAGCTTGAATTTAAGGACAGGACAATAAGATTAGAACATTTTGGCTTAGAGCCTTCCTCAGCACACAGTCATCATTGTCATCATCAATGGCACTACAGCCCATGTAGGGCCCTGGCCTGCTCCACCACATCCTTCCATTCGGAGCAATCCATGGCTTTCCGTCTCCATGCTCGAACCCCCAACTGGTGTAAATCTGTCTCCACATCATCAATCCACCTCATCCTTGGGCGACCGATGAGTCGTCTGCCCCTAGGCTTCTGCCTGTATATAATTTTGGCTGCTCTGCATTCCGGCATCCTTTCAACATGACCTGCCCAGCGTATTCTGCCTTTTTTTATCATTGTGACTATGGGTGGTTCTTTGTACAAATAGTAAAGTTCTTGGTTTGTACGTATTCTCCAGATATCATTTTCTATCACTGGTCCGTATATTTTGCGGAGGATTTTCCTCTCCCATGTGTTGAGCAGGTTCTCTGCTTTTCTGGTGAGGGTCCAGGTCTCACTAGCGTACGTTACTACAGGTCTTATGATGGTGGTGTATATTGTCTTCTTTGTTCCCCTTGATAGGTTTTTGTTTCCCAGTAGCTTTTGTAGACTGAAATAGGAACGGTTGCCTGCTGTTATCCTTTCTTTCACCTCTGACCTTATCTCATTGTGCTAATTTATTAGTTGCCCCTACATATTTGTATGTGTCCACTCTCTCAAATTTGTGGTTGTTTATATTGATGTTATCATCAGCATGGGAGTTTCTTGACATTATCATATATTTTGTCTTCGGTTCATTTATATCAAGGCCAGCTTTGAATGAGGCATTTTCAAGTTCCCTGAATGCTTTAATTATGTCATTACGGTTTCTACCCATATTATCAGCATGGGAGTTTCTTGACATTATCATATATTTTGTCTTCGGTTCATTTATATCAAGGCCAGCTTTGAATGAGGCATTTTCAAGTTCCCTGAATGCTTTAATTATGTCATTACGGTTTCTCCCCAGGAGTGCTATATCATCTGCATATGCCAGGTACTGCAATGGTTGGCTATATAAGGTTCCTGATGGTCGTTGCTCTGTAGCATCTCTCTGGAAATAGTTTGTTTTGGTTCCACTGGTGCTAATGTGAATGCTTCTAATAACTTTTTCTAGCGTGATGTTAAACATGATACATGATAGTGAGTCTCCTTGTCTGAGGCCCCGATTAACTATGAACTCCTTAGAATATTCTCCCTGAACCTTGATTCTGCTTTTGGAGTTGGCCATTGAGTAAGTTTGTTAGGGACTCCAAGTTCTTGTAAAGCATTGTATTAGTAATTCCTGTTTACGATATCATATGCCATTTTGTAATCCACATATAGTTGGTGTATGTCGATGTTATATTCGTAGCATTTCTCCAGGAGACATCTTATAGTAAAAATATGATCCGTGGTTGACCTATTCTGCCGGATTCCACATTGATAGTCCCCTAGCATCTGTTCACTATACTTTTCCAATTTTCTCGCTATAAGTTTTGTGAGGATTTTGTACATTACATTAAGAAGGGAGATACCTCTATAGTTTGAGCATATCAACTTAGATCCCTTTTTGTGGATTGGGATTATGAGTGCCGTGTCCCATTCAGTTGGCATTTCTTCCTCCTGCCAGATTCTGGTTATAAGTTCGTGTATTTGCCTATGCAGTTCGCTACCACCTAGCTTTATGAGTTCTGCAGGGATAAGGTCTATTCCTGGGGCTTTGTTATTTTTCATGGTGGAGATTACATCTTTTATTTCATTTAAAGTTGGTTGGTTGACCAGTGGGTCCGGTCCTCCTTGTGGCGGGGCGTAATCCTCATTGGTTCCTCCACCTGAGCCATTCAGTAAGCCTTCAAAGTGTTGTGCCCATCTCTCTAGTACTCTACTGCTCTCTGTGATCAATTCTCCATCCATGCTTTCACACATGTGGGATCTTGCTTGAAAGCCATTCTTTTCCTGCTTTATAATTTCATTTAAAGTTGGTTGGTTGACCAGTGGGTCCGGTCCTCCTTGTGGCGGGGCGTAATCCTCATTGGTTCCTCCACCTGAGCCATTCAGTAAGCCTTCAAAGTGTTGTGCCCATCTCTCTAGTACTCTACTGCTCTCTGTGATCAATTCTCCATCCATGCTTTCACACATGTGGGATCTTGCTTGAAAGCCATTCTTTTCCTGCTTTATCTTCAGGTACATTCCCCTCACATCTCTTTCTTTTGCCAACTCTTCTATCTCTACTATTTTTTATTTTTCCCAAACACGTTTTTTCTTTCTGCAAATTTTGCTGGCCACCCTTCTTGCTTCATTATATAATTGTCGTGTTCTTCTTGTTTCCCTTTGCAACATCATTAGCCGAGCTTTGTTTCTTTGTTCTATAAGTTCTTTGCATTCTGCGTCATACCATCCTGTTCTTTTCACTGCTGGTTTAAATCCAATCGATTTCTCTGTTACACTTGTAACTATTTGCTTCATCTTTTCCCATTGCTGATTCTCTTTTGGATAATTCTAGTAGAGTTTCAATCTTCTGTTGATATTCCTCAGCAATTTTTGGGTCCCTACTCGGTTTCTGGCTATTGTACTGTTTTTCTCTTTTATTTTCTTTATTGTGGATGTTACAAATTCTTTGCTTATATTTGATTCTAACAAGCATGTGGTCTGAGTCTATGTCCGCCCCTCTACAACTTTTCCCATCTGATATGTCCGAGCCACACCTCCGGTCGATGAGTACGTGGTCTATTTGATTACGGGTAAATCCATCTGGAGATATCCATGTCGCTTTATGTATTTGTTTATGTTGGAATACTGTGCTACTGATTATCATTCCTTTTCCAGAGGCGAAGTCTATTAGACGTGTTCCGTTGTCATCGCTCTCATCATGCATACTTTCCTTTCCGATTGTTGGTCTGTAGACTAGTTCTTTTCCAATTTTCGCATTGAAATCGCCAAAGACTATTTTGATATCATGTCGTGGAGCCTCATCAAATACTCTTTCCAGTGTTTCGTAGAAAGTTTCCTTCCTTGCTTTCATCTGTATCTTCCGTTGGAGCATGAGCGCAGGTTAAACATTTTTCCTCTAATCCTTATGGAACATAATCTTTCACTCACTGGTTTAAACCCAATGACTGAATTTACTGTCTCTCTTTTGACTGCAAACCCTGTTCCTACGTATTTGTGTTGTTTCCACTGTAGAATATTGTATATTCCTTTGTATTTAGGATATCTGAGTCTTTCCATCTAATCTCCTGTAGTGCCGCAATCACGATTCTATATCTAAGTAATTCCTCACTGAGGCGGGCCAAGGCACCTGCTCTATATAAACTGAGTACATTCCAAGTCGCTATCCAAATGTTATGTGTGTGGTCAGGCATGGGTCGAAATCCATAAATATCAGTCCGTTTTTCTAATTGTGGTTTTACTTTCGTAACATTAGCTTTTTTACGTGACAGGGTCGTCAGCCCTGCGCACAACCGTCTGGGGGGATGCCCCCTTGCAGCTTTCAGGGTAGCTGCCTTTGTATTGGGTCGGGTCACTAGCCTTTGTGGATCCCTCCACTTCCTACAAGGCAGTAGGTACTGATTTTGGTCCGCCCCGGGTATTTTATTTCCCCGGTACCCTCCATATCTGGTGGGCTTTCCCCTATCCGCCACCTGGGGAGGCGCTCGATGGAAGATCAGTATCTCCTCACAAGCCTCAGCACACAGTACAAATGAAAATATCACAAGGAACAGAGCGCAGTAAACAACTCAAGAAATAGCCATTGTTATAGCCGGTAGTAGGGTTACAGGAGGTGGGAGAAAATAAATAAGTTTTTTTGCTATTTCATTTACTTAGCTTGAATGCAGGTCCTTTAATTATTATAAAAATGCAAAGGGGGTATATACATCTCCAGTAACATTATGCAAGCCTTTCCTTGCCTTAATGTAATTTAAGAACGCACCTTTAACAAATGGAATCCTACGATGCTCTTTGAGCTGGTTAACACCTTTGTTAGCATGGTATAGCCGTTAGCTTCATGAAACGACTGGGCTAGTGCAGGAAACCGGTGAATTAGCTGGAACAAGATGTGGGTCATTTTACTTTGCAGTTGCTCTGCCACTTCTAGGCTGCCTCCTTTATCTACAGCCTTCATGCTGTCTTCAAAGATCTAAAATAAACGAAACAAACCTAACAATGATTGTACACTTGGAAAATTCTATCACCTTTTCAGCTTGACAGTTAGGATAAACACTATATTATTTGAACTCAAATTTTCTTACATCACCATAAATTCATTTTAAAAAAACAAACAAGAAGGTAGTTTAAGTAGATAAGTTATGCTTACTTTAGCCACTAGAAATAAAACTGCCTCAACACCACCAGCCTGTTCCATGGCTTTCTCCAGAGTGTTCATATATCTGACCTTCACCTTTCCCCTTAGATTGGCTTTCACAACAACTGGTTTTTGGCTCAGTAGGTCAGACTGTGATCCTGATGGTGGAACAAGGCCAAGGTCATCTGAATTTGAAGAAGGTGGTGTCAGGGGCAGGACCATCTTTGCATAGACCCCTGAGTGGCACACTCTGTAGACAAGGAGCTCACATGCCTGCAGGAGAACAAGACAGTAAGAAAGACTGGCAATTTTAACAACATATCTTACAAATAATTATTCTAAAAAATTAAAAAAA